GAATTTACTAGACATCCTCTGCCTTCCCTGTCCCCAATACACACACACACACGCACACACACACACGCACACACACATCTGACATTACAAAAGAAAAGAAAAGGCAGGCTAACCTACTCAGCCAGCACAGAACCTAGATCCCTATTGCTCTGTCCAGGGCTCCGTGTGAATGAGTGGATACCAGACTCCTACTCTCTGCACATCACAGGGACTGGCCATTAGTTCTATCTTCCCTGAGGTATAATAGAGTAACAAATGGGACACGTATTTCTTCTTTTTCTTTCTTTACCTCAGGACTGTCTGAGATCATGTACGGAAAGCTAAACTTAAGTATTCTTTTCGTATGTAAAGATCCATGGAGGGTTAAGTAACAAAGCCATGGCTCCAGATAACCAATGTCTACACAATTCACAAACTACCTCCACACGTACCATTTTACTTCATACCGACTGTATATGGTAGATGTACATATTCCACGTCTTTTATTGTTGAGCATATTCAGGTTCATGACAGGTGAAAGCAGTTTTCACGTTCTGACACTTATGCATAGGAAGACAACAGGTTCTGACACCAAATCCTATTTTACCCATTTTAGGCTGTGGTTTCCTTTCCAAATTCCTTTGTCACTCTGTTCTATGTTTCAAGACTTTCTCTCATTTTCCGGTCCATTAAAAGCCCTATATCATGATTTAGGTATTAAAATGTTTTTATATTATTTTTAGGGATTTGGGAAGGAGCAGAAAGATATTCATTTATGCATCATTTCATTTATTCATTGGTCAGTCGTGGGTGGCCGTGTCCACTATGCCAAAGATTGGAGTCTGAGGAATATCAAGGTCTTTTAAGTCCCCGCGATTTAGTGGGAAGGTTGGAAATTGTGATACCAACTGGCAGGTGCCATAGGGGAGGTAGAGGCTTAGGACTGCGAGCACTTGGACGGGAGGGGTCCTTTCACCGAATGCCTACATCTGCTCTCTTTCCCGTTCCCGAGGCTTTTTACTTTCCGCATGGCCTCTGAGGGACAGACTCTTCTTCTCATCCTGTAGCTGCTTCAATATGTTTCAATAAAAATACTATTTTAGGAAAGACTTCCATCACTCCTTTAGGCAAATTAGATTTTCCTTTAGAGTTCTGCAGTAACCTGCACTTTGCCTTCGCAGCACTTGATGACATTGACCTTAAATAGTTATACGTGGAGTTATTCGTCTAACTGCTTTTCTGCCCCAAATTGTAACCTCCTAGGAGCAGGAATTGTATCCGTTTGAACAGGATCACACATTCAAGGCCAAATACACAGAGGAGGGGCTTCAAAAAAATGTTTAATTTTCAATAAATGAACTTGCTTCAGGTGAACCATACATAAAATTAAAGCATCTTCATAGAGAAAATCTCAGTGGGCTTCTCTATGAATTTGGCACCAAAATATGAGTTCTGCTTCCCAGTTGAAAACGTAGGTGGAGCATATTAACTACCCCGTGTCTTTCTCACGCTCACGACTAACCCAAGACAAGAGTGCAAGGACACTCCCTTTCCACGGCTCCCTCTCGCCCACCTCCCCTGCTGTAGAGGGGACCCAGGAGCCCCGGCTCCCACCTAGCTCCGCAACCCCAAGCACAGCCCTATGGCAGGGGGTGGGGACGCTGTCGCCACAAGCCACCGCCACTGCTGTCACATGAATTACCCAGTCCACAGTCTGGACATGAGACCTGTACTCTCCTAAAGATGGTGAAGTGGAGAGGCTACAACAGGGTCATAGAGTGAGGTAAACAAGGACAACGTAGGCTATGAGAAAGCATTCAAGAAGTAAAATTTGGAAGGGTCTGCTCTTTGGACGGGCAGTTTAAAATTTTGGAGCATTCTCACATTGACTTATTTTCCAGTGGTGTGCTTCTCAGGGTAAAAGGTGCCATTATGTTTTCCTATTTAGAGATGATACTGAAAGCACAGACCACACGTCAATTGAATTCATCGAGAGCGAATTGGTTTTCGCTTCATTTCACCTGGCATTAATGGCTTGGCAGGAGCCATGGGAAGCCTTATTCTTGATTTAAAAGATGGAAATCCAAACCAATTCAGTGTTAATTATAATGTAAAAACCTGTAAACAAATTGAAGATGGAAACTTTGAACCAGGAATAGTTATAAATGAAAATATCAGTGTGACTTAAAGCATAAAGCAAACTACAGTTGCCCCTTGAACAACACAGGTTTGAACTGTGCAGGTCCCCTTGTGGGCGGATGTTTTTTGTTTGTTTGTTTGTTTAAGTAGGATCCACACCCAATGTGGATCCCAATGCGGGGCTTGAACTCATGACCCTGAGATCAAAACCAGAGTCGGATGCCTAACTGACTGAGCCACACATGTGCCCCAGATGTTTTTTTGATAAAGAGAGTGAAGTACTATAAATGCATTTTCTCTTAACGATTTTCTTAATAACATTTTCTTTACTTACTTTGTTGTAAGAATATAGTATATAATACATATAACATACCAAATATGTTAATTGACTCTTATCAGTAAGGCTTCTGGTCAACAGTAGGCTATCAGTAGGTAAGTTTTTGGGGAAGTCAAAAATTATACATGGGTTTTCAACTATGTAGGGGGGTGGGCACCATTAACCCCCTCGTTTTCAAGCATCAGCTGTATTCTTTAGAATGATGAAGTTGTGCTGAAAACCATAAACTAATGACATATTAAGAGTCACCTGTGAGGGTGTCATGGCACCCCAGATCAGAGCGAAAGTGCGAGCACAAGAGACAGAAGACAAAGACTGTTAGAAATGCTCCCGCAACAAACAAGTAATTTGGAACCTGTCTTCTCATTATTGACCCTCTCTGAAACCAGACTGAGTGAGCACATTTGTAGAAAGTTTTGGTGGGCACTTGCATCTCTGAAGACATTTGGAGTTAAGAATGGCAGGCTTCCTAGGACGGCAGAGGGAGTGAGTGACCGGGTCCCTGGTCTAGGGCAAATTATAACTCTCAGCGCTCGGTTTTACCCGGAGGAAATCTTTGGTGACGTCACTGTGCCAATGAGTATAGAAGATGGTTTGACAAGCTTGAGTCATGATTTCCCTGGCTTCAGAATGATAAAGATGGAGATGGTCCCACAGAGGGAGCCAGCACGAACGAGTCCACGGCATGTTGCTCAGTCTTTCCGGAGCACACAAATCACCTGCGGGTCTTGTTAAAATGCAGACTCTGATTCAGCAGGTCTGGGGGTGGGGCTCCCGGTGATGTCATTGCTGCTGGTCCTTAGACAAACACTTTGAGAGGCCAAGAGCACCATCTGATGGAGTCTCCTAGGGAGATTAGGGAGACCTCAGGGAAGAGAGGCATCTCTCCCGATGTCCAAGGGCTCGGGAAGTGTTGCTAGCAGCCGTGGACACAGAACTGCATCCATGTGCCCAGGTGTGAGAGAGAAGACGAGCAGGAGATCTCGCACAAGAGGATGGCAGCTTTGTCCCGCTGTCAGACCCAGAGTGGAAGCCACCAGGCAAGTGAGAATGATCCCAACTCTCCTCTCGTCCCCTACCCATCCTCACTGCATGAGCTTCCAGGGTGGCCAAGGACAGTTTATCGTGGGACCTGGGGAAAGGTGCGTGGGTGGTGGCTGGGCGGAGGGAGGTCCTGCGCTCATGGTTGGTGGAAGGCAAATTGTCCTAGGCGACTTCTGAACACAAAAGGAGATAGAAAATAGATTTTAGCTATTTGTGCTAGGAGTTCCCTACCTCACACAGTGGGACAGACACTGGGTAATTGTTCACCAAATGATTTCCCCTTCCTCTGGGTCATAGAGCAGGACCATTTCCCATCTTGCCATCACACAACTGAGTTCTGGCCAATGGAATATGAGCAGAAGTGACACGAGCCTCTCTCGGGCTGTGACTCGCTCCCCTCCACCCACTGGCTGAACGAGAAGTCCTCCACAGGCCACGAGGAGGTCGGAGACGTGAGAGGGAAGAAGAACCCTTGGTCTCTGGACGACTTCTTGGGGTCAACATGTGTCGGACTGTGACGTAAGGGAGAAACCTAGAATAGTCTATTGTGTGGAGCCACTAGCTTCTGTGGTTGTTGGTTGAAATAGTTAGCCTACCTGAGAATAAACATAGGTAGGGTTGGAGACTCACTAGGGCCAAACGCCGACTACCGGAGTAAGGCGGGGAGATGTAGCAACTTGTACCTTTAATGAGTTTTTTTCTTTGAGTCACTCTGGGCAAACTTTTGGCTTGTGAATGCTCTTGGCACTAAGTCTTCTGTCTTTGTAAGGTTTGTTTTCATGAGGCTGAAAGGTAAGTGTTCCTGGTGATCAGTAATGAGACAATGTCACCTCCAATTCCCTCCTTCCTGACCCTTGACAGCTTTCAGGAGCCGAGGCCATTACTATGTGGATTTCCCGTGGCATCTCTTCTCTTCTGCCAGGGAATTTTTCTTGCTTTTTAAAATATAGAATGTTATCTTTTTATAACAGCTTCTATGCCCAAGGGAACGACAACAGTTTACCAATTGAGAAGTTTTCTGGAGAACTATTTCCCCCACAACCCACACGAATGTACAACGGACTTAGAGAACAAGGTAGCCAGAAAGTTCCTTTTGTGATATGAAGATTAGTGATTTTATTCAAGAGTAATATTGATGAACCACAACAGGGACTCTGCTGGGAACCACCATTCCTCTTGTTACCACTCAAGACCCAGTGTGATTAAATTCAGTTGAACAGATTCCCAAAAATAGGTCCAGTAAAGAAAACCTTTCTTCAGAATGTGACAGAATTCATACACTTTTAAGCCAATTGTTTGAGATCATGGACCTCCAGCCCCTTTGTTTGCTGAAATCTTAAAAGATCAAAACCTCAAATTGAATTTGGTTTTATTTCATTTTTCTTTAGAGCTTTGATCTCCCCCTTGGGATTTATCAATAGTTTCATTCTCTTTCATTCTCTTTAGACTTTAGAAGCTAAGTGGTGACATCAGGAAATGTCATGTGGGCAAGCTCACTCACCTTGCTTTGAAGCTTCACGCGTTCCCCGGGGCTATCGGGCAAGGCAAGCCAGCAGATACGCCGGCTATCAGCCCATGACTAATTCAAAGCAAAGCGAAGACACATTCGATGCATTCCTTTTGTGAAGCAACAATGGAAATGAATGCATAGATTTATTCACCTTTAATATTTTCTATGAGAAGACATCAAGGTCTTCTTCTGCCACTGTAGTGATCAGGTAAACCACATAAACCCAGATTACACTGTGCCAATGTCAAAGCATACAAAAAATATTTTAGGTATAAATAGGTGTTGTTTTTTTTTTAAATCTGAAAGTGATCTGAGAAATTAGAACAGGTGATAGAGATGTATTATAGGCAGCTAATAAGACTTAGCCTTTGAAAAACTCATCTTTAAAGTTTTACAAAGCATGCTGGATTTTAGAGAAACTTACTGGAACCACAATAATGGAGCCGCCCAGGGGTCTGCAGTACTTAGGGAAAGTGAACGGACTACAAAGGTAATTCTTTCCTGTCTGTAACTCAGCATGCTACAACCCTGTGCTGTATGAGTATCTTTGTAACTCACATGGGGAGAACATTGTAGTAGAATCTGTTTGATAAAGTCATTGCTTATGAATAAGATGTAAAGGAAGTAGAATGGGGGGAGAGAAGATATTTTTAGTTTTTTGAAAGCAGTGCTACTGTTTTGGGAAACCATGAATTTACCATTGCACCATAAATAGAAATATAATTGCTTTCATCTGCATTACATGGCTTTTTTATGTGCCGCTAAAAACAATTTGAGAAATGTAATGAAATTACACTGAACTTTTACTCGGAACACAGTTGTCGTTGTTTTTTCCAGCTAATTTAATGTTTTTTGTTGAAAATTTCCTGATGAGAATAAACATAAAAATAAATCCTATTAACTTCTAGCTAAAGATATACATTTAAAAGTTGGGGGGAAAAATTAGCAGCGCAGAGTAATAGCCAAGAGTGAAATGTGTCCCACTGCAGAATGTCATTATATAATAACCTTATGCCCTTTATTGTGACAGGAGCTGAGTTGGATATTTTGCTGGAAATTGACAGCAATAGAATTTTGACAGAAATTTATCTGTCCTCCTAGACTGTGGAATTCATAACATACTTTGTGTCCAACTTATGTAATGTTCATATGTGATGTTCATTTACAAATCTAAGATTTTAATTGGTCGTTGCTTTTATTGGGTAGATTTATGTAAGCATAATTCTACTAAATTAGGTACCACAATTTAAGAATAGTAACAATATATTTTTCCACTCTAGAAAATACACTTTAAATCATTTTAACCCACTATAAACATTTTGATAGTAGTTTTTAGAGACCACTCATAAAGCATTTTTTAAAAAAGCAGTAAGATTGGGCAGTGTTTGAACACAGGGTAATAATTCATGCCAATTATATTGCTAAACAAAGTCTCAGTCCCAATAATATGTCATAATTCATACCTTATGGTCTGATAGCAATTAAAATACCATCATTAAGTATATTGCAAACACACATAATTGTTGAAATCTTGCTTATGTGGAATAACATTCGGTGCTTTATTAAGCAGAATAGTACCTCTGTTCGTTTTGTTGACAGTGTTGTAATCATTAGAGAACCATTCCGGGAGTACCTTTAATACACACACAGATTCGGACTTTATCTCGTATTTTTAGGACTCTTAGTACTGTTTCTACTATTGTGGCTATTCATGCTTTCGAGTCTGCTGCCTGTCTGGTCATGTCAGAACAGGTACAATCACAGGGTTCTACAGTAAGGTTAACACCCACCTGAATGTGGTCTAGAACGTCTTCAAAGGGTTGGTTCTCTGCCTCTGGAAGGTCAACAAACATTAGATGAGACAAAAGGATTCCTAGACTCAGCCCATATAACCTCTCCGGGATGCCCTTGGTACCTCTAGCAAGTGACAGACAGGTCAGCCTGCACCTACCCAAGCCCTAAACTGCGACCAGCTTAACAAAACAGAGGGCGGTGTCACTGGGACCCCCACGTGCTGGGGACGGCCTGCTCCACGTAAGCTTTCCCTGTCTTACCTCAGTTTCACATGGCACTGTATCCCCCAGGAGTCATTTAGTTTGAAGATTTTAAAGATATATTTTGAGATAATAAGCAGAACATTTCTGCATATCAAGTTAACGTGGTATGGACTTTGGAACCATAAAGATGAGGGTTTACGTTCTGACAGCCTACTTAAAGCTTGAATTCCAGGATGAGTATGTAGATGGTAATCACCACGGAGGCCGACGTCTGCGTTGGGAATAATGTGTGCAAAGCACCTGCACAGCGGTACAGCAAGTGTTCAGTGCGCACTGGAAACAAATCCTCAAAAGGTGCAATGCTTGAACAGTTTGCTTTTCACCCCGATCCAAATAAATACACTGTGTGTGTTGGGGTGGGCGGAGATCAGTCCAGACTTCTGATCCAGGATCATTAGGTGGCTACAATGTGCAAGGCGTGGGCAAGGAAGCCATGTACGTCAAGGAAAGTTGGTTCTTCCAGCACTTGGTGGCTGAGGTTAGAAAGTCAGGCGTTAGGGAGAGTGCGGAGAGAGGCCATGTGTGGGGCTCTGCTGGAGGTGAGCAGAATGCCTCCCTGTTAGACGGCATCAGGAATGTTGCCCGTTAACCGTGTATTAACTGTGCCTTTTCATTTTCTGTATTTTGATGCTTTAACCACCCCACTCTCCCACCTCACTAAGTCAAGTCCTACAGATAGTAAACATCGCCAACCAATCCGGAGCCCTCACCCAACCACCTCCTTCATGGGTGGCTCGCTCTCTAGTCACTGACCCCCACCCCCATCCCCCTGCCCAGGGCCAGGTACCAGACAACCAGGGACAGCCTCTGACCTGGAGCCCCTGAAATTATTCAAACTTGCCGATTCTACGCCTGCAAACCCTGCCTCCCCCAGTCCTTCCCAAGGGCATCACAATCTAGGCTTGTCCCGCGGGTTCCCTGGCCCCTCGGCCCCCTGGCTGACCCAGCCAGGGCTTCTCCCCTGGCACATAGGAAACTACCTTTTTAATGGAAGTCGTCTCTGGATCTGGCAGCCTATAATTATTTCTAAGTGACAAACATATTATTCTTAATGTTGACGTTTGCTTGCAGTTATACCTGCAATAATCATAAAACCTTTATTTTAAAATAAACCCCTAGCGCCCGAAGCCTGCAGAGGGCTGCGAGCACAGAGGAAGGCAGGCCACGGGGACAGGATGGCTTCACTGGCCCTGCTCGTCGGGCCAGGGAGACAGAAGCAGCCGCAAATAAATACCACCACCGGAGAACGTAGCTGCACCTTTTATTGGTACGGTGACTTTTCAGAGGCTGGTATGAACACAAAGTTCCAAGCAGCAAGACACCATGGTCTGGTGGCACCGCTGAGGACTTCCTGCCACAGAAGCACACGGATAAATGGGTGGTTGTGTCACGGGAGGGTTGAGGAGATAGAGCAGGTGAGCCATGCAGCGCAGCTCCGAGGGGACGGCCACCCTGGGATGCGGCGTCACCACCCCGAGCAGCACGTCTCCGCAAGCTCCTTCGGACTGTGCGGACCTCCGAGGTGACCCTGTCACACCGCCGGCTATGGACGTGAAGCCCCACGCGCCTCACTGAGTTCCCGTAGCCGAGGGTGACGCGGGGAGAGGAGGTGGCCGCCAGGAGCTGGCCGTGCACGTCAGCAGAGACACGTGCGTCCCCAGCCAGCCGAACGGAAACCCGGGGCTCAGTCCATGTGTGCGCAGGCTTGACACTGGCGAAGCTAAAGCAATGACACAGTCTCGAGGGGCTTAGGTCCTTTAGGGGGAAAAAGGGGGGGGGAAGAAAGAAAATTCTAGAAATTTTTTGTTTTAAATGTGTGTTTTGAAGGGAGCACCACCAATTGCATAAAGTTATAAAACAGGGTCAGAAACAGGTAAATAATGATCGGGTTTGTAATGCCAACAAAACACACCACCTACAAAGAAATCAAACGTCTGTCGCGGAGGGTGTATCCCGGGAGAGCGCCTGGCGAACAAGGAACACGTGGTCGCGCTCGGAAACACGGTCCAGCGCGCGCCCCTCCGCTGCCCTGCCGCGTTCCGCTGGCGGTGCTCCCCCTCCCCGCCCCGCTGCTCCAGGCCCTGCTCCTGCGGCTGGGGGCGGGGTGGGTCGCGGGGCCCGAGAAGCCGAGTGCGCGCCACCCACGGGTGAGAAAGAACACGCACGCGCGCACACGCGGAGCGCGGTGGCCTCTGCCCGGTCCCGCGCCGCTCGGTGCAGGGGCGCGCGGGAAGCGCCCGGGCCGGGGTGGCGCGGGCACCTGCGGCGCGCGGCCCCTCACGTGCCGGAGTCCCACAGCTCGGAGGGCAGCCGGCCGCAGGACGCCCCCTCGGGCTTCTTCACCAGGGTGGGCTTCTTGCAGGGCGGAGGGGGAGGCGCCCTGGGCTCCGAGGGCTGCAGGAGGTGCTGCCAGTCTTCTGTCCCCTCGCACAGCTTCCGCCTCCAGTCCAGGAGCTCCTGCAGGGCGGCGCTTTCGTTCTCCGAGAGCCGCAGCTGATGGATTACCTGCGGGAGGGAAGAGGGGAAACTTGCAGTAGCAGGTGCTGTGAGCCAGAGGGGAGAGGGAGAGCCGCACGGGCGGGGAGAGGGAGATGGGGGCGGGGGGGGGGGCGCTGGCTACCAAGCCTCCAGGCACTGCTGCAGCGGGAAACCCGCCCTCGACCAGCGCCGGAAACTGCCCTGTGAAGGCGGCAAACAGAACAAAGTATGGAGGGCAGGGACACTGGCTAAGGAGATAAACCTCCAGGTGATTCCCGAAGCGGGCACATGTCTGCGTGCCCTTTGCCCTCTGTTATGATATACATTCTTATGACATCCTATACTTTTTCCTCATTTATCACAACTGTGAGGCTGTTTTTAGGTTTTGGGGTTTCTCAAGGTTCCCCTGATTCTAGGGTCCTCCCATCTGTGCAGAACTAGTCAACATCTTTTTTTTTTTTTTTTAGTTTATTTATCTGAGAGAGAGAGAATGAGAGATAGAGAGCACGAGAGGGAAGAGGGTCAGAGGGAGAAGCAGACTCCCTGCTGAGCAGGGAGCCCGATGCGGGACTCGATCCCGGGACCCCAGGATCATGACCTGAGCCGAAGGCAGTCGCCCAACCAACTGAGCCACCCAGGCGCCCTAGTCAACATCTTTTAAGGGAGTATGACCCTACTGACTACGATGCTCCAGTTTGTGGGGGGAAATCAAAGCAGGGATCTCAACCAGCACCTGGGTGCTCTCTGATCTTGTGCCCAGAGAGGGGGAACTTTAGGGACCTTTGCAGGAGAGCATCATGATGCAATTGTGTGGGCTTAGTCCTCTCGCTTCCTTACGCTACCGTTTTTCTGGCCATTCTAGAGTGAGTGTGCGGGACTTCACAGTGGGAATACTGGGGAGAATTCAGAAGAAACAAGACGTCTCAACCCACTTTCAAAGTACCTCCTGCTTTGTTCTGGTGCCCCTTCCAGCCTCCCCATCAAAACGAACGACAGTAAATGAAAGCAGGGCATAGCGGTTGGCTCCTATGTGAAAGCAGTCACTCGGAAGGAGCGAGGCTAATCAGTGGTCCAGTTTAAGAACCAACGCCTTAACCCGGACATCTGATCCTACCATCTACCCACGGAAGAAGAACTTAAAGCTAGAATAAGTGGATGGGCAGAACGTCGAGACATGGGGGTAAACCACAGAAACCGGGAAGCCAAACCCATATCCGCAGTACATAACTAGGTTTCTGGAGCTGGCTGCCAGCAAAAGGAGGTCCCCCATATTGAATGTACAGATAACCAGAAAAACACCGTAAGTGTGGAAAACAGGACCGTGACTGTCTCTTCCTGAAGGGACCTCCAGGAATCAAGGCTGAAGCAGCATGCACACCCTCTGCCCCCTGCCCCAGAGAGGGTATGTTTCTCCAGTCTCCGGGACTGCACCAGAACGACATGGAAATGAGACATCCCCCTGTGGGGAAGGCTCCCATGGAAGCCAGACTGACTCTACGTTCAGGAAGTGAGCCAAGAAAGGGAGGGTGTAAAAAATATCTTTTTAATAAACACTTTAGAGTACTAACTGTGTACCAGGTACTTTTCTAAGCACCTGAGAAACATTGACGCAGCAATCCTCCAGAGAGCTCTCTACAGCACTGCTAGCTCGCCTTTAGCAGATGAGGGTAGTAGGGCACAAGGAGGTAAAGCAGTTTGCCCAAAGTCACATGAAAAATGGTGACTGGCTCCAGAGTCTGCCTTCCGAGGTACTACTCTACACTGTTGTCCAGGAGCTGATACATGCTAAAGACCAGTGTCCCTATGTCATGCTCTCTTTCTCCTTTCCCTACACGGGATTCAGTGTAATCCGTCTTCCTTCACTACTGTATTTTAGCTCCTCTACTTTCTCGTGTACACTTGGCGGCTACTTTCAGCTGCAATCTCTTTCACTCTATGGGTATTGAACACCTATATATATGTTCCTTGGCCCATGTTCAGCACATAGTAGCAATCTGCAAAAAATACTGTCACGGCATTTATTCTTATGAGAGAGTATGTAATTGATGGAAGAATATTTTTACCATCTCAGCTGATTTTTCCCCCAACTTCCTTGAGATATCCTTTTTGTTAAGTAACATAACTTCACATTCATCTAATTAAAAGCAAAACAAGAAACTTTCACATCTGCATAGGGTTTTGCAGATCATGGCAGGTTACTGCTCCCATTGTAAAGATGAAAAAAAAAAGAGAGAGACAAATTACCAAAATCAGATATTTAGAGTATCAGATAGCTCTGGCAAACTAAGAACAAGGGAAACAGAAATTCTGGATGGGGAAAATCTTTCTGAACCGATAATTACCAGCTGTTTTTTTTTTTCCCCCTCTCCTGGAACATTTGCCAATTCTGGGTTCTTCTGTGGGTCTAGAGAGCCCTTTCTAGAAGAAAGAGAAACCGTACAATATGTTGCAGTTGTAGGAGATGAGAGACAGAGATTGGGAATCTGAGGACCCTCAAATGATGGCCATTTTCCCCAAGAGACATTTGTTAAGTTTTCCAGCTGTATGCATGAGTGGTGCCTTAGGCCAAAAGCTTACAAAAAGCAGAGTGAAATCTCCTACAGTGTTCATGATGCCTCAGAAAGCAAAAAATCTGATGGGGGGCAGGGGTGGGGGGAGAATAGCCTCAAGCACCTGATTAGTCTCATCTTCGAGACTTGTAGATTTTGCACCTGAGTGGGGCACAGCCTGGAGAACGGGCCAGGACCTCTGAAATGCACAGCTGGAGCACATCTGCACTCAACCAGAGCTAAGGAACAAAAAGACCCACAGGCTCTCTGCAGATCAGAGGCAAAGCCGAGGCAGGCTGATTCTGCACCCCGGCTCAGTCTGTGATTAGACTGAGGACGTCCTCCCTTGCCTCGGCCTCCTAACGGGATGTTGGAATCTCTCCAGTAGACAGCATCCTCTGCAGCATCTACAGTTTGTTGGCCCACTAAGCTTTACTGTGCGATCAGAAATTACATGTGGAGAGACAAGGAAATTCACTAAAGACTGAAGGATAAAACAGATTCACAGATGATCCAGATTTAGGGTTAGTTGATAAAGACTTTAAAATACCTATGATGAAATGCTTAGGAGAGAGGAAATGATGGACAAACAGAAGAGACAGCGGAACAGACACACATAAAAGGAATTCCAGAAGGAAAAGATAGACAAAGAATGTGACAAGGCCGTCCTCAAAGAGATAAGTTTCCAGAACTTACAAAGGGCATCAATACACACACTTAAGAGGCTCAGCAAACCACACAAAAGGCAAACACACACACAGGCCATGCCCAGCAGTAAAAAAGCACAAGGAGGATCCTGTTAAAACAAAGACAAAGGAAAAAGCTCTAAAATCCAAAGGAAAAAGACACATTCCCTTCAGAGGAACAATGAGAGGGTAAGTTGACTTCTAAGCAGAAGCCAGGCAATAGCAAATCACAGAGTAAAGTACTGGAAGAAAGTAATTCAGCCTAAAACTCTACTTTCAATAAAAATAACCCTCACAAGGTGAAATAGAGATATTTTTAGACAGTAAAAAGGAGGAAATTGGCCATCAGAAGTCTCCCATTTTTGTTGAAGGTGAAGGAAAATGATCTTGGATGGAAAAATTGAATTTTATTTTTTAAATTGAAATTTAAGAGAGAATTAAGGACATCGGAATTAAATCCAAGGGTAAATAGAAGTTGGATGCTTGGGGTGTCTTATAGACTATAAATTATTTGTAGAACAGGAACGCACGCCAGTGATAACCTATAAAAGCCAGGAGGGGTGATGTGGTGTAGAGGTTGTAGCGTTCTAGCAGTATTAGGAAAGTGGACAAAGTAACAAAAATCCCTTAAGATGCAGTAAGTCAAAAATGCATGGTCTCTTCTCTAGTAAAACTATAGAACACGCAGGGAGAGAATGTGTAATTAGCAAGTTATATGTAGAAAATGTGAAATAATAAATATTCCATTAATCTAAAAGAAAACAAGAAGGATGCAAAAATAATATGCAAATGGAGGCCAGGTCTAACAAGACAGAGTAAAGCATAAAAACTAGACCAGCAGAATCCACATCTCCACCGAGCAGATGGTGTTGCTCTTCCGGGGCCGGATGGCATGGGCTGTATTTATGTTCATGCCGGGGCATGAGAGAGCCATACAACTCTGTCCCCACACCAAGCACAGAGCACATCCATTCTGCGTCTCTCCTCAATCTTAGACTCTTCAGCAACCCTTTGTAATGACCAAAAATATACGCGAGGTGTGACCCTCTGCCAAGGCCTTCCTAACAGGAACACATTTTCAGATAGAGCCACTCCATGGCTGCTGATCTGACGGAGGCTGGTGGGGAGGGCTTTTGACATAAAATGTCCCAAATCCCCTGAGTTCCTGCTTCAGTGTTCGAAAAAAAAAAAAAAAAGCTCTCTACTCTTTCAAAGCTTCTCAGTGTTTACTAAAAATATCTGCATTCCCAAGTACATTATAAAAGGTGAAACTTACATACCCAAACCATTAGAAAGCATTTTCTTAACGAGGATATTGATGTCTTGAATAATGTAATAAGTAAAGAAGAACACCATCTTTGAATCAACAACAGGAGCTTTCGATGCTTCCTCGATAAGCAGAAATTTGACTGATGTTTGCAATAATCAACTAATGCTCAGAATAAACCCCTTCATTGAGAGATCCCATGGAACTTTATTGTCTATTATAGAGATTAATAGGTACTGAGTAAAATCTAATAGGTACATAAGGGTAGTTGCCAGGATGGTATAAATGAGATGATAACAGACTAACATTATTGATCTTCCTTTAAAAAAGAAAAAGAATTTTCACAGGTTATTCCTTAAATGAAGGTCTAAAATTCTGTTTAAGCATACATGATAGGTCACTACTTGCAACATAATGAAGTTCAGAGGACATTTTAAAGTTATGATCTGTGAGACAATAAATAGAAGATCAGAAGGTAAGAACAGTGTGCCCTGATGAATGATGTTTAATCTGTTTTAGATTTGT